GTGATTTCACATCCTGGGGACACGCTGTAGGAAAGAAAAGTTTCTAAACTGATTTTAGATTATTTGTATGTAAGCGCTGTCAGGTGCATCCATCATTTTGTGGGGGAAATAGAGTTACAGAGTGTGGAAGTTCGCACAAGCCGTCATGTACAGGTAATTTTTCCAGAAAAGTGAGATGTTCTATTTGGGAGGAGAGGGGCGTTCCCCTTTCTTAGATGCTATCCTGGATCAGGTACAAGTTTTAAACCAGTCTCATCTGTACAGCAAGTGTGTACTTAAAATAGTCTCCTCCCCATCATAGCAACTGGACTCATTGTCTTGCCCATAAAAGTTTGCCCAGCTATTACTCAGAGCAGACTTTGTCACATTAGCTGCATATATATGGAAAGAATTCACTTCTAGCTAGCGTCTTTTCTCTACTGTTGTTGCTCAACAACCCACTGCGGCTGATGTTAACGGCAGAATAATTTGTATTCGTGAACCTCGCTGCCTTTCCCATGACTCTGAAGTGCTGTAACCAACAGATTCTTATGGAAAATGAATCTGAAGCTAGCTGGCAAATAGATAAGTCAATGATAGACCAAGCACAGAGACGGATAGAAATACCAATGCAGCACAAAACACAATGATAATATAACACAGGGATAGAGTAATCAATTATAAGAAGAAAGAAAATAGAGGAATGAAATGGATCTATAAAAGCCATGAAGTGTTTTTCTTTATTTTTCTATGTTTTTATCTCCCTGAAAGAATGGTTCACACCAACCGCAGTAACAGGACTATAAACAGTAAACTACCACAGTGAATTTCTATACAATGTTTTAAATGCTTTTCATACAATTTTTAAAGATCTTGCACCAGAAGGAGTAGACAGATGGAATATTTGGATTGCAACAGAACTGCCATTACATTGCATGGCTCCAAATGCACGTTCTGTCCACACTTGTTTCAGAGGATAATATATCTAAAACAGAAAGATTCCAGACATAGGGCAGGAGACGTGGCTGCTTCCCAGGAATGCAAAGGGGCTGGTGTCTCTCTCTCTCTCTCTCCTCTTACAATTTTGCAGGTCCAAAGGAAAGCATCTGGCTCCTCATTTGGCCACTCAAATCTCCAGACATCTGTTCTGGTGGTCTGAGGGAGCCTGAATTTGCTGCCCTTCCAAGAATGCTACAGAAACCATTGATTTGACAAAGGCAAGATGGTTCTGAAAAGGAGAGGCTACCACAGAGCCCATGGCTGTGTCTACACTGGCATGAATTTCCGGAAATGCTTAAAACGGAATACTATTCCGTTTTCAGTTTTTCCAGAAAAGGAGCTTCTACAATGGCAGGCTGCTTTTCCGGAAAAGCCCTTTTTCCGGAAAAGTGTCTGTGGCCAATGTAGACGCGCTTTTCCGGAAAAGAGCCCCGATCGTCATTTTCGCGATCGGGGCTTTTTTCCGGAAAAGACTACTGGGCTGTCTACACTGGCCCTTTTCCGGAACAGTGTTCCGGAATAAGGACTTATGCCCGAGCGGGAGCAGAATAGTTTTTCCGGAATAGCGGCTGATTTTGTACAGTAGATCATCGTTGCTTTTCCGAAAATTCAAGGGCCAGTGTAGAGAGCTTGCAGCTTATTCCGGAAAAGCGGCTGATTTTCCGGAATAAGTGGCCCAGTGTAGACACAGCCCATGTGTATTGATTTAGCTATTTGGTTGGTTTTAATAACAGTGAAATGGAGTCCTACAAAAAGCTCTGAGCATGCTCTTAGTAACTAGGTATGCCATAACAATGAGATCCAGCCACAGCATTAATACTGACACGCAAGTAAATGAACTCAGACAGACAGCGATATTAAATAATCTAAATGCAGGCAGTGGCTGCCCTCACACAAGCAGGCCTCAGACAGGGAACATTCTGGGGGTGGGGGCTTATCACGGGAAATGAGGATCCCAAAGAGGCAGCTCTCCATTCACAGACAGGAATACAGAGACACATCAGGTTGCCCATCTAACAATGCTGTAAAAGTTTCTTCTGCTCCAGGACAAAATGTACTGAATGCTTAGTACTCTTCCTCAGCAATGGTCTTTGTTAACACAAATTAATCTTCACAACATGCCCAAGAGTCAAATAATTAAGTAGGATCATTCCCAAGCTTACAGATGAAGAGACTGAGGCAGAAGTGGCCCATGGCTGCAGTAGAAGTTAATGGCAAAACTGTACAGTATTGAGATTCTGTTTTCAGAGTCTAGATTAAAGATGGTCTCCTTAAATTCTGGCAGGAATACTTTGGCCGATCGATAATATTACTAGCAGGGTGGCTGCAGAGTCCCTCTGTGCATATTTAAATGGATCTTAGAACCTGTCTTAACCTAGTCAGAACACGGACTGTTCCAGTTATAATGATGTCACTAGTCAAAGCTCCTCTCCTCGGTGAAGGAAACAATGACCAGATATTCAGAGACCTCACTTTCTGCTTTCCCGCAGGTTGTGTCCTGTTTTTCTTATTAAGCTGCACTCACTAGTGTTATCCTTCCTGAGAGTGCAGTTCACTTTGGGAGGGACCTTTTTTTTACTGCCCTGTGATACTTTGACAATAATTTTCTTTTTATACTTCAAGCTGCTGGGCTTTCCTGTTTGCAGTACTCACGTCTACACTGCAGCACTATTTGGAAATAACTAGCGCTATTCTGAAATGACTTAGTCCATGTCTACACAGCAGGCAGTTATTTTGAAATACTGTCAAGCTGGAGGACTTCTTACTCCGACTCCTTTAACCCTCACTGTACAAGGAGCAAGGGCAGTCGAAGGAAGAGTGCTCTGTTTCGAAATAAGTGCTGTGTAGATGCTCCCAATTTCAAAATAAGCTATTTTGAAATAAGATGCACAATTGACGTGGCTCTCAAGTTAAGCCCTGCAGTGTAGACCCCTCCCTCCCAGAATGCATGACCGTGCCCCACACTCTGCTCAAATGCGTCCTTAAAACTTATTTCTTATGCAAAACACCAACTTGCCGCTGCCGCCAACTCATAAAGCTCGTAGAACAAGATGGCTAAAGTTGTTGGGAAGGCCCCGTATTGTAAAGCATATCTGCTGCCAAGACCACACCCTCTTCTGGCCCCCTCCAGCTGTGTGTCTCAATCCACATTGTAATTGCCTTGGTGGGAGGATCAGGGTTTCCTTTGTGTCTGTCCTGTAGAGTGCTGAATACAGAGTCACGGCTTACCCAATATGAGCTGCAAGGAGTCGGCAGCACCTTCATCACTGTGCATAAGGGGGTGCTCACAGGCGAAACAAGAGGGATGTGGGAATTTGGATAAGGACCCAGTGAATTTGGATAAAGCACCTAGTGAATGCAGAATGACTTGGGTAAATTTTCGACCTCAGTGTCTGAGGCAGGAAACTAAACAAGCACAGAAAGGCTGCTCTTGTCGTGAAGTATTTCCTTCTTCGGCTGATCCAGAAGCCATAGGCAGATGCTGGAAATCTCACAGATTCATAGAGTGTAAGGCCAGAAATGCCCATTTCATCACCTAGTCTGACCTCCCATCTGCCACAGGACAGAGAATTCCACCCACTTACCCCTGTGTTGTACAGGACTACAAGCTTCTTCCAGAAAGGCAGCCAGTCTGGATCTGAAGACATCAACAGATGGAGACTTCACCACTTCCCGTGGGAGTATGTTCCAGTGGTTCCTCACCCACACTGAACATTTTGTGCCTCATTTGTAATTCAGACTTGTCTGGCTCTAACATCCAGCCACAAGTAGGGATGTGATAGTCTAAATGTGTACACAGTTAACCAATGAGCCTGGGTGCTTAACCTTCGCAGCCCCTCCCCTCCCGCTGCCTCTGTATCCAAAGCAGCAGTAGAGGGTGGGGGGCAGGCAGGAGCGGGTGTGCGTGGGGAGCCAGCTTTTAAGCAGGCTTCCTGCTGGCACCTGCTCCTTTGGAGCCCCCCTGCCCCTCATGTTGTTGCCTCTGTATCCCCACGGAAGCCCCCGCTCCCCCCAAGTATTCATTGTCATTTATGTTCTGTGTTTGGAAAGAAGCATCCTCGTGCATCTTTCCAAACACAGAACATAAATATTTATTGAACACATCTTCCTTCAAAAGCAGGGCTGTTCTAGTTGGCTTTGCATATCAGATAGATTTAGGACTTTTGTCCCAGTGCTCAGAATTTTTGGCCTCAGGGATTATGCATTTTAAATTAAACAACAGGTGGTCCTGAAATATAACCCTATACTATGGTCTAATAGTATCAGACATATGGGATAAAAATGGCCTGGTGTTTTTTCAAGCTGGTGATTAAGTAAAGCAGTCTCAGTTTCTTTCCCCAGTTTATTGCTTCATAAACCATAGCAGAGAATAAACCATTAATACCCGTTCATTGGTGTCAGTGAGAGCAAACGTGAATTGTTAGTGATTTTAATATTAATGTTTGACTGTAAATCTTCACAGGTTAATACTCAAAAGCGCAGTCTGTAGAATAGCTGTGGGAGAGAGGGAGAGCTCAGCATTAGACTCTACCTTCGGCACTGCGGTGATGAATCAGCTGCCATGTAGCTCTTGCCAAAGTCCAATATGGTACATTAGAAACAAGCGTCTCACAAATGGTCTGGTGTAATTATGAACAGAAAGTCATTCTCTCATCCAGCTTTCCCATCCAATTAGGTAACCGTCCTTGTAGACGGTGGTGCTACCTGTAAGAACCTCTGGGTGGATTAGTGATGATCTGTGTTACTATCCATAGATTGGCAGTGTTGGCCTAATTGTGGGATTAAGCTGCTGTTTGCACTTCTGGCGTGCTTGGCCAGCACACTAGGATTTTGCTTCTAGCCCTGGTGAGTTTTTAGAATCACAAAAGAAAAATGCATAATTGCATGTCCAAAAGCAAGGTCATAATCGAAAAGGTCAGGGGAGTGGGAGTAAATGAGGAATTAACGAACGCATGGCAGAAGCTAATGGGTGAAGCTATTGAAACATAATATAAAGGAATTTTTTATTTGGGTTTTTCTAGGTTTTCCAAGGTTGTGGAAATCCCAAAATGAGCACAAAAACATCCAGTGGAGAGGCTAAGAAAAGACGGGGGAAAGCTGTCACTGATGATAAATCATCAGGGCTTGGACTGGAGAAGCTAGTAAGTGTGTGTCTAACTTTTTGGAATATATTTATAAAGCATTTCCCCTGTTGGAATATATGAAACTGCGCGTTGTGTCTGTCCTTGTCACGTGTTGGGATCCTCGCTGACCCAACGGCAAGGCAGTGCCGAGAGCTGTGGGCATCAACCCTGTTTGGGGTCAGGTGATGTCTTCTGACGCAAGGCCAGAGCAGGGACTCTGCCCTGTCGCCAGTCAGGCGGGGTCGTCCCAAAGAGTTCCTGACAGGTCCTCGGCTCCCATCCATGATGATAAACTTTTGGCTGCATGAATGTGCTTCCCCTGTCTAGCGCCTGAACACAACAGACTCTGAGAGACCACTAATCAGACAAGGATCAAAAGCACCCGAGTAGCTTTATTGCCAAGTGAGGTACACTGATAGTTGTTAGTGAACAGACTCACCGCTGCCCCTGTGTGCACTGTGACAATGGACTAATGCCCAACTAAACACTCTGGATTCTAGTGTCCCCCCATGATCAGTCAATGAGCACTGTTATACACAGCTACAAACAAGGTACACGTCACTCCTGATGTATCAGGTTGCCACTCTCTGTTAGCTAGTTACCACCCCTTCCCTCATGCCAGGGGGGTTTCCATTACTATCCATCACGCTGTCAATTTAGACCCAGTCCTGAACCTATGTCAGTATGTCTGTTATTTGTGGGGTGTGTGCTGTTGTTGTTTCTTAACAAGGTGTTCTGTTACGAACCCTCTGGAGTGTGTTTTATGGTCTGTGCCTGGCACCTTTTGGTGTTCTTTATGCTTGACCCTGCTTGTGCCATTTCTTTTTAGCCAAGCCTCTTTCCTGCTTGTAGCTTCACAGAGCCAAAGTCTTGCTCACTAGATTTCAGGCCTGCTGATTTTATGTTGCAGACCCTCCACTTACTACATGCTCTAGTCTTTGCTGGCTAACCAATAAACACTCCCACATGCCTATTATGTAGAAAAAGCTGCTGACCTGTCACACTGAAGGCTCAACTAAGACAGGATTCTGGCTGCTGATTTCAGCTCCCCAGCACCAGACTGGTGGAATGACCTAAGCGTATCGAGATGTTTGGTCCCCAAGGGCATTGGTAGTAGAATGGAGCACAAGCCAGGCAGCCTTTTCCTCCAGCATGGGCAGCTGTGCATCGCCCTGATGAGCTTTGCCTTAGTCTCTTCTCTCCTTGGGCGGAGGGCTGTTATTGAGGTAACGTCAGTGTTCTCTTCCTGAGTGTGAAACCGCAGCAGTGCTCTGTCTCGTACAGTAAATGAGCTGGAACTGTAGCCGGACAACCTTCTATGAAGCCTCTAAGGTTTCATAGAAGTTTCCTTGGGCCCAGATTCTCCCTCCATCTTACAGGTTTCCGATGCCAAAGGGAAGCTGAGAGAGATCAAGGATTACTGGGTTGTCCTTCCAAGCACACTGTGCAATGAGAAAATAACCTCTGGCTCGACGAACGAGGACAAGTGCTGGAACGGAATGGCCAAGGGGAGGTAAGGAAGGGGAGTAGAGAAGAGACACAAAACATGTCCATGCTAGAATTTAGCTGTTATCAGAGAGAGGATAAAGGTACTTGCAGAGAGAAACTAATTCCTTCCACATCCCTGTGCATGAAGCTTTATAGCCTGCAAACCATTTCAGAGGGTGTTTTGCTAAAATACAGTTGCCCCTCAAGACCAGTTCCCCCAGTTGCTTCAACCCTAATCCCATGTCCGCTCCTCATAGGAGTTGTTAAGGCCACGGTAAACGTGTCTGACCCCACTGGAGCCAGCATGGGGCAGATTCTCAGCCTTGCATGTACATGACCTAAGCACTGGGGCAGTGAAACATCCCACTTTCTAGAAGCTGAGGCACTTCCAGCAGTTACTCTAGTTATTTAGAGACCCAGAGGGACGGCTGCTGTTTGATGCTGCTGAGTTCGTTGTCAGCAGCACGGGGACTAGGGATGTGAACAACTAGTCAACTATCCGATAAGCAAATTCTTATTGGATAGTTGACGGAGTAGTCAACTAGTCGTCCCCCCCCACTGCTGCCTCTATCAGAAAGAGGCAGCAAGTGGGGAGGAGGGGGAAGAAGGGGTGCTTCAAAGCAGCTGCACCACGTGGAGCCCGGGGCCAGACTCAGAGTCCCCAGCTGACCCCGGGCTCCATGCAGGCTGTTGCTACACTTCAAAGGTGAAGGCGCCGTTATCGACAAATTGCATCGACTGTTCGATTAGCCCATTAATCTAAACATCCCTAACGGGGATAGAGTCTGAGACCTCTGGCTTGAAAAGCATGAGGTTGTGCTGCCTCTGCTGAAATCCCCAAGCCTGGGAGTGCATAGCCAGTAGCTCTAAGCAGTCCAGTCACTAGAGGGAGACAGAGGCATCCTGTAAACTGAGTGTTGCACACACAGTGGCAAATATGCTGGCTACTTCCCTGCCCGTTCCCTCCTCCCTTTGCCCTGCCAACCATGGAACCCCCAGCAGCACTGTGCTCAATGCCTTGCATGGGTCCCCTGAATCAGCCCTCTTCGTTCCACTGCCAGGGAAATCACTGTCATCAAAGAATTGGGAGCTGAGATTGCGCCTTATGCTAATGCAGAAATATGGGCAGAAAGACAAATGAACAAAAAATTGGAGGCTGTAATTGGAACACGAGTAAATACGCTAGTGATATCACCAAGCCGCAAAGCGCTCCTTCTCATGGGTTGTAGATTATCAATTGTAATGGCATTTGTGTATACCAAGAGGAGAATTTACTGTGTGGGGAAAGCCCATATGAACAAAGTGATTTCCTGTGTAGGTATTTACCAGAGGTGATGGGAGATGGTTTGGCCAATCAGATTAATAATCCAGAGGTGGAGGTGGACATCACCAAGCCAGATATGACCATTCGTCAGCAAATCATGCAGCTGAAGATCATGACAAACCGGCTGCGCAATGCTTACAATGGGAACGACGTGGACTTCCAGGATGCTAGTGAGTACAACAGAAATCTTTCACGAGTAATGGGACACACCGTGAATGCCAAAAGATTTCTGAATGATGTCTGGAAAAGTTCTGTCAATCCCAATTCCAGGCTGTGCACGATAAAGTGCGAGAGGAGACTAAAAGCCCACGATTCCTGCGATGGTATTTTTATTTAGATTGCACCAAAAATAAGTTAAATGTTTTCCAACCGCTGATGAGGTGCTGCCCTAGAGTGAGTACAGGGCCACCCATAACAACTTCTGGCCATTGTCACTGAAGAGAATGGAGTGTGGGGTTGCATCTGGCCTGTGGTACTCCTGCAGCCAAAAGAGAGTTGGAGAGTAACAGAATGAGGTGCCCTGGGGTAGTATTGTACTGACGCCGGATAACGCAGCCACCCTCTGTGTTCTGCAACCCCCTCCTGAGACAAGAGCCCGTTGGTCACAAAACAAGATGTTACCCCTCCCCCAAGAAAGACAATGTGATCTTTATCTGTCCCCTGAACAGCTGCTAGAGAACGGGGACAGCCTTTGATTTCACATCTCAGCTAGTGAGCATCACCTCCCCAGCTATTCAGTCATGCATGGTCAGTGCTAGGCACAGTATCACGTTCAATCCTGCTGCTAGTCTGTGCACCAAAGACGTGTAGTCCACGTAAGATCACAGCAAGTGTTGTCCATGCTTGCTTTTAGTGCGAGGGTGGCAAAGCAAAGTTGGGTGTTTGCTATAGTTGTAAGAAGATACCTCAGGGTTGGACGAGATCTCAGGAAGTCATCAAGTCCAACTCCCTGCCCAAAGCAGGACCAACCCCAACTCAAAGGCTTCCCTTGTCGACCGCGCCATGTCTAGACTGCCGCGCTGTGCTGGATCAGCTGATTGTCGGCACAGTGCGGTGGCCATTTTTATTTTAATGAAGCGGGATTATTTAAATCCCTGCTGCTTTGACTATGCCAAGTAAACTATTTTACATGGCTCCGTCGATAGAGCCATGTAGTCTAGACGTACCCCTAGAGTCCTGTTTTTTGTTTCCCTAGAGGCAGTGACTGTCCTGTGCTAAGCACCAAGTTCCATTTGTCATTCTCACCCCGACTTTCTCTCTTTGTGCAGGTGATGACATCAGTGGCTCTGGGAGCGGCGATAGCTGCCCTGATGAAGTCTGCAGCGAAAGACTTTCCAAGAACCCCAGCACCAGGCAACCAGAAATACATGCTATTCCGAACCAGTCTGGACGTGGTGTAAAGGGGGCCAGCAGCAAATGTTTGCCTTCCTTCTTCCTAATCTTCCTTTCGGTAGCTGTTATTGCAACACAGTACTTGTGGCGATAACTTACTTGCACAGCCATGAAAGAGACTGTGGCTGAGGTCTTAACTTTGCCAAAACAAACAAAAAAAGACAATATAATTCATCTTGGCAAAAAAGAGGAAGAAAAAAGGTCTCAATTGTTTGTGATATCTGGCAGTGCTAGAGCTGTCTCATCCTTGTTTGGTCTTTTGGAATGCTGGGCCCTTCTTTCCGTACCTCATTTTTATTTCATTTTATTTTGCCACAAGGGGAGGCTCTTTATGGCCTCAGACGAGCCTTTGCAGATAGGGAAAAAAAACAAGTATCTTGAAAGGGTCACCATTTGATTTACTGCAGTGGAATATGCAGTTGACCTAATAAGTTATACAACTGTAGACAAAAATGCCACTTCCCCATTAACATCTAAAGCATGACCGAGGTTTTAGAACAGTGCAAAATTAGGATGGCCAACGGCAGAGTTAAGTTAAGGAGCTATTTCACGGTTTTCTACTATATTGCTTAAGCAGGTAGAGAGATGATTATCACTCATTTGCTTTGATAAGCATAAGGAATTAGTTGAAAAAGCCTCCATCAAACTCAGTTAGCAATGGGATTTCTTATCCAAGTGTTTGCAATCAAAATGTAAGGGTCCTTTCACTTACAGGTACATGAGTAGTTTTGCTTCCTAATCAGCAGAAATTAACAATCCTCCTACTTTGAAGGGAATGGGAGTAAGTTTTAGATTTTGCATGCTATTTGGAAAACATTGAAGTTTGCTGTTAATTGATGGTCTAATCTAAAATTCCAATACCGTATCACAATATGCAACATTGAGAGAAAAATACATATGGCGAGATTGGTCATTTGAGAGAATTGTTTCCAACAATAGGCTGAAGCTTTTTCTTAATGACAAAGACAAGAATAACCTTCTACAACAGGAAGTGCTATTTTGTGAAATCTCACAGATTTATGACACCTAAAGTAATTTAGGTTACAGTCTTGGAGTCAGTGGGTTATTATTTACTTCCCTGGGGGAAGGGGGAGAGAGAGAGAGAGTGTGTGTGTTTGTTTTTTGCCTAGGAATTGACTCAGATGTATAATCTGGGTTTTGGAGATTTTTTAAAGTGAATGCCTACTTTTCCTCCAACTCCCCCTCCAACTTCATCACTGCATTGACTTAAGAAAAAAACTGTCATGTGTCTGATCTATAATTACACACACAATCAATAGATCATCTGGAACTAAAACCCAGGATGCTTCTAGAATTTCCAGTCCTCTGTCCTAAGCAATGGATGCACAGCCTCCAAATTTTAGCCAGTTATTTTTTGTAGCTTATTACATGAGTGCTGGGCTTGGATTGAACTAAAGGCTTCATTTTTGTCAACAAACAATATATATCAGTATACACACATACATCTGTTAGGGATGTCTCTGTCTACAGAGCTGTGCACTTTGGTTCCCTAGCTGGCTTGTGTGATACCCAGATACAGTTACCATCATTTAGAAAAGTATCTTTAGAGTAACAATATAGTCCTATTGACGGTTTTTGGAAATAGGGAACTGTGAGTTTGGGCTCTGCTGTTGTTATTTTTGTCTCATAGTGTGATTTTTATTTTTAGGGAGCAAGCATGTCTTATGTTTAAAAAGTTTATTAGATTATCAGTCTTTTAAACACTCTTGGCTCTTTTATTAAGGGGGAAAATGTATTTTGGTGCATAACAAAATATTTGGCAGAAGCAGAATTTTATTTGTGCTGTCACTGTTTATGGAATGTGCAATTTAAGGTAAGACTCTTAGGATTAGAGAGTTAGAGGATGTTGACAGATGTTGCAAAAAAGCAAGTGTTCTGAAATCAGCATTCTCCATGTTGATTTAAAATTCCTAATTTATTGGGCAACTACTGCTGTTTCCTGGCCTAGCCACTTAATAGAGGCTGACATTTCTACCACCATATCAAAACTCGGACTGTGTTTAGGCCAGTTAGGAGAGATGCAGCATCCCACATTACACCTTGCTTTGGCACAGACTATTTTAGATCCGGGGGGGGAGGGGGCGAGGGTGTATTCCCCTTATAGCAGTAGTTCTTAAAGCTAAGCTTGCATCAAAGGCATGTTGCCATTAGCCTTAAATTATCTGGCTCTGGATGCAAATTAAATAAACATGATACTACTGGTCCTATAGTCAGCTGTGGTGTGGTTTCATTCAGGTTTGCTTTTATGGGTCTAGTGTGGTGATTTTAATCCATGTTGAACATAAGAAAATCAGACCAAAGGTCCATCTAGCCCAGCAGCCTGTCTGCCGACAGCGGCCACCACCAGGTGCCTCAGAGGGGGTGGACCGAAGACAACGATCAAGCAATTTTTTGCCGTTGTACGTATAAAATAAGACTGCTCTTATGCAGCACCTAACCCAGTTGCTGAGGGAGAATGGAAAACAAATGTGAAAAGGGCATTAGAGTAGATTTTTAAAAAAAATATTAAAATATGAGCACTACAGTAAATAGTTTATAACTATTTAGGCACCCATTGCTGTATGCAATGGAAGAGGGGGAAAAAATCTCTTTAGCATGTATTTGCCAGCCTAGTGAAAGCACTGACACACTGTTCCCGGCCCTGGGGGAGTCCTTTCATTAAGGGCCATACTATATCCCATATCAAGGGAGTATGATTTACTTTGGATTTGCTGCTTTGGGAGGGGAAGAGGAAATAGGACCATTCACTTCTGTGTTAGCAAGATGGTGATTCTCAGTGTTCTGATAAGGAAAAAATACTTGGGGTTTGTTCATTTTCATGTTCTTATCTGAATAATTAAACACTCACATCCCTGCAAAGTAGAGAACCAGAAAAATGGTGTAGTGGATTTACAGTCATCTCTGTCTTCAAACTTGCTCTTTTGTGCCATAATTTGTATGTTTTAGCTAAGAGTGGGATCGTTAGAGGCTTTGAGACCACAGATATTTATCATTTTACAAATGACAAACAACCTATTGTTTTCTGGTGGGCTTGGTAGGGGAGATAAGGTATAACAAATATTCTACATACAACTTTGCTTTAAAAATGCATTTCTATCTGCAGGATTAAGACTTATTTCACTTATTGGCATTGCTGGCCAATTATATATTTCTTTCTGTTACCAAGGTACTTGTAACTATCTTGCACTGTTTATCTAAAGTTGAAATATGTTCTTTGAATCCTTGTATAAATAAAAAGGCTGGAGACTTACATCTATATTTGTCCTACTGTTACAAATCAGTTTTGTGTCGTCTACATTTTATCTGACTAGCTCCAGTATCAGTCCTTCGTTTATCCATTACCATGATATAGCATAGCCACTGTGAGTTCACATGCTCAAACATGTATGATGTAGAGCAGTCAACTCTAGGCATGGGAGATGCATAAAAACAAGATGAAATCTCTTTGATGACATTTTATAAAGTTAATAAACTAAAGATTGTTAGTGTGAAAGCCAGAAAGAGAGAGACCAGGGAAGGTATAATAAAGGAGAAAAAGCTTTAAAAAAAACCCCTAAATATCTGTAACCATAAAGCATCATGTTAATTATTCACTTTTGCACTCAAAATACTGCTTCTTGAAAAGTTAACAAAAAAAGTATTCTGGTCCCAATGAAGAGCTTTTCTGAATTAAATAACCCACCACCGTGCTCCCTTTGAATGAAATGATGTCGACACAGGTTTTGTTTTTCTATATACACAGTTCCCAGAGGTTGTTTAACTTGATAACACTTCCAAAGGGGTTATCCCCACACTTCTGGTAGTTAGGTAAGGACAGAAGTTGTGCACATCACTGGAAGTAAATGGCACCTTAAGAATTCCAGGCCCCCTTCCTACTTTTTCCCAAAGAAAATAAACAATGTCTTGTCTCTAGAAAACTTATCAGTTTACTTAGTAAATACCAAAATCTGTCATTTACAGGAGTTTAGATTCTACTTTATAGACACAGCACTAAACAGCTGAAATCTACATTCTATAAAACTAATACATATGTATGCATGGGTTCTCTACAAAGGCCAGTATTTATAAAAACTGTAATTCAGTCATCTCAGAAATATATCTCCTGTAAATGCTCTCTGTCGTGCTTTACTATTTAAAATAACTACCCCTAGAAAAGAAATGGGAAAATGAAAAAACATTTTCTATAGCTAATTGTGTAACTTATGAACACCGCCCTTTCTCCCTACACCCACCCCACCCCTTTGCAAATGGGCTACTGGTAGGCCAGATATTGGGAAATCAACATTCTTAAACTATCCACAGTCCTAGGCTCAGCTCCTGCTCTCTGTTACATCCCTATGCCAGTCACAGGGTGTGAGGAATGGCATTCTGGTCCTTTATGTATGCTGGCAATGGGTGTCTACAGGCAGGCACATAAATACAGGCCTTTGGGAGGTGCTGAGGACCTATATTTACTTCCCCAACTGGATCCAATTTGAGTTGCAGTTACTCAGAACTTCTAAAAGCTGGGCACCTAAACCAGAACCTTGCCTTCTTTTCCAAGTGGTGACCTCTGCCTGCCACATGAGCACATACCCCCAACTCCTCCATCCCCTGACCTGAACAGGAGCGGGGTTTTCTCCACCTCTGATCATCATCCTAAAAGTTCTCTTTAATTTGTGTGTGTCCAACCCTCAGGGCTTTTAATTTAAAAACAAAATGCTACATGCTTTTTAGAGTGTAATCTGCTTTCAGAAGGTTTGGTCAGTCGATTAAGTAACAGCCAAGTTGCCCTGCACTAATCACAGTGTGATTAAATGGAAATTAAAGCTAAAGGAACATGAACTTTGCATGGAGTTGATGAGTGATGCAATAAACTCAAATTCCAGATACTATTTCAGTGACATAAATAGTTCCTAAAAAGTCTTACCCTTCACAGTCGTCATTTTACCATCCAGCTCTCTAAGTTACATGTCTAACTGTAGATACTAATCACTATTTGAAATAAAAGCGAAGATCCCTAGAAAATGACTGAGGATGTCCAAGCTGTCATCACAACCATGTCACTAGAATGCTAGTGTTTCTTGTTTGAAAAGCACATATTAGATCAAGGCAAGTGATGCCAGGTCAGCTTACTCAACATGCTCATGTTTTTGTATTGGAGGATTAATTGTAACTGTAATTCCCAGTGTAAGGAAGATTTGGACGTGTGTCCTCGTTGGTTGCCTGTACTTTGCCTTTCTTGTCATCTTTCCTGAAGGCTTCTTTTCTGCCACTTCCATCTCTTGCCTTTCTGCCATTGGGACTCTGCTGACCTCTTGAAATGCCTGACTTCGTCTTAAGTTGACGCTTTCCTGTAAAAATGAAAACACGCTGATTGGTCTGTGAAGGAACACTGGTTTCCTTCGACCACAATGCTGGACACAACTGCAAGCTTTCAAACTTACTGAACCTTGAATCAGCTTAATAAGCAAGATGGAAGCACCATCTCTCTCCTGCATGGCAGAAACTGCCTACCTGCGGGCCTTTAGAGGGATAGTGTATGGCACTAATGTTTGTACTTTTTTCCATCAGTTACTACTTCTGAGTCTCTTAATATGAAAAGCTAGTTTCAAATGATCAGCATTAATATAAGCTTTCTGTAATTCCTAGGTAGCTACCACAAAATTCAATTGACAACATCACCATCTCAGAACCATCACAGTGTTTAATACACAAAGTAAAACATAAAGAACCCTGAAATAATACTGAAATTCCCTCCTAAACACACAGTTTAGGTTACTGCAGATACCTTAAAATTAATCTGTAAACCCTACAGGTTGAGATTTTCAAAGTAATCCAAGGAATTTATTTAGCCATTGGTTCATTTTAAATGGAAGAGGTCTCTAAATCCGCTAGATGTCATGGGAAAAGCTCAGTCATCAATTGCAGCACCTTACCCACTGATGAGATTCCACAGTTTAGGTGATCATTTATCTTAAATTTAGAAGCTGCCTTTTGCTAGCAAGACAAATGAAGAAAAATATGTTTGACTACTTGGCAACGAATCACGAAGGAGGGAGAAAGAGAAAGTTTGCTGATGTATGAATTACCTTATTGCCATCCTTGAAATATATATATATATGTATATATAAATAAATAAATCAGTGATAGCAAAAACCTATCTGGAGGGAAGCATGTCTTGTTTGTAGGTACAATAACTCAGAACACTCGTGTGTGTGTGTGAATCTGTCATAAGGGCACTCTAAGAATAGCAGAACTGCAAATGGTATGTCTACAGCACAGGATAAGGTCGAATTAAGATACTCGACTTCAGCTGCATTAATTGCGTAGCTGAAGACGAAGTACCGTAACTTGACTTTTGGTGCTGTCCACGCTGCGGGATGTTGAAGGGAGCACACTTCCGCCATTGACCAGAGTGCCCCTCTCACTTTGAATTAGCTGTTTTCATTAGACTCGCTAATTCGAACCCTAGAAGATCGACAGCGGCAACTTCGATCATCTCTGTAGTGTAGACAAACCCCAATACTAATGCCCCTTTGGCCTTACTCCAATTTTTTAGACGGCAATGGCAAAGACAGCCCAAAAGCATCTCGCCTGCAAATAAAATACACTGCTTAAGGTGAGATAATAGCACTATGCTTGTATTGGTACCAGCACAAAAGGGGCATAAATAGGAAACTAAAGCCATTTGCTTCTGTTTTTCAAGCTTTTTGCTGCTTATCACGTCAACAGCTTCTAACTTTTCTAGCTGGCCCAAACGCAAGCCATTCAGTTCTTCTCCCGGTGACAACTGAAGCAGGCAAAGACAGTATCCAAGCACCTGTCCTGGCTTTCGTAGATAATAATTTCAAAAAAAATCTGTGACATAAGCCAGACCTGTAACTCCAAGTCAGCTGACCCAGCGCCTACATTATTGGCTAAGTAAACCTGTACGTCACAGGCAGGGAACAAAATCCATTTTGTCTGTCATGCTAGCTCAGTAAGGGAGTAGTTCCCTGTGCAAAGGGGAGCATCAAATTATAAAGCCACATGAGCACTTTAAAAAAGTAGAAAAGGGCTGCTTGCAGCATTTTGCCCCACTGCCTATCTATGCTTACATGTTGGGCCACTTCTCTATCAGCTGTATTCCCCTCCCACACAAAGTTCCCAGAGGGCACACCCTACTCATCAGTCATATCACTGTTTAGAAGGTGGTACTGAGTCTTCTGGTGGTTTCCATTTCAAACTATCAGTGTAGCCAGCTACAAATTCCTCTTTTATACCAGCCTTTGTTACCATTTTTTCTTACTACACGTAAATTAAAAATGACCAAGATGTGCTATGCGCTCTATGGAAATTAGAACTGAAAGTCTTTGGAATGGTCAGGCAGGTTTATTGCTCTCCTGTCAGCTGTGGAAATGGTTTTTGCCGTACCTTTCACAAGAAGTATCATGGAAACCAGCCATTAATTACTCAGTCATGCAGAAAAGGAGGAGTTGGGCAGTGCTGAGAGGGACTTGACATCACATGCGGCTTTTCACTTTTCTTTAAAAGCAGCTATAGCAATTCTTGCCTCACTGCAGCCATTGCTTGCCCTCACCACTACATGCACTGTAGTTACAGTTCTGCCATGAGGGCTATGCTAGGAGATGTCTCTTTAGCAAGTAAATTAATTGTCTATACTAGGAAATGTCTTAATTATTGCTTCTGTAAATGAGTGGGCTTTGCAGGCATGTGTTTGGCATTTAGTCTCCAATTTTTAAAATGAAATCTATGAGTGCGTCTAGCTGGCAATGAGTTTAAAAGGGCCAAAATGTGAATGCAACTGCTTCTCGATGATGGAAAAAGATGTGAACAGTCAAAACAGACTTACCATCCACCTCAGATTGTAGGCTGTCTTGGTCAGAGTCCATTAAGGGTGAATCACCTTTGGCAGCAACAAAACAAGGTGCAAAGACATTTCAGAATAGTCACGTGTGAGGTCCTATTGTGACTACGTAGAGGAACCAACTGCTTTCACTGCACTCTAAGCAGTTTTAAAAAGTTGCTAACAGCCATAAATACCAATAAAATTTATTTTATGAACAGTTGCTCACAAAAAAAAAATCATTACATTTCCCACTATACAGGTAAAGTTGCACAATAACAGCTACACAAAGCTTATTTGAAACAAAGATACAACTTTTTCAAATACAGCAGTAAATTGTAAACATGACACAAGGACTATGTCTTTAGAAAGCTCCCTTTGCTTGAAGTTAAAAAGGAAGCATGCCAATTTTTTAGTGATCTGCCGAGCAGTGTTTGGCATTGTCATGTCTTCACCAGAGTCCTAGTTCTTTCACTGAAGAAAAAAGTCACCACACAGACGAGAGGTGGGGCTAAAGATGGAGCTTCCAGTCTTCACCCCATTATTTTGCAGGAAAATCCGAGCTAAGGAGATCTTAAAGAGGCCCTGCAATCTCCATTACCCAGCATGCAGGTTTTGGTTCATAATCAGCTAATACTTAAAGATTTTTTACACTTCAGCCTCTAGTGAACACTTCTTCCATCTAATGGAACGTCATCGGAGGTGTGTGTCATGAATCCATATCGCAGCATGTGAGGCGATCATAACTTCATGCCAGACTCTGTTCAGCACCTTCAAAAACAATTTGAATGTGTCTCCTCGTGGCTCTGCTCAAAGATCTGTAGGTCACCATTTCAACTATCACTCCCATTAACACATGGTTGTTGGCCCGTGTGAAATGTATTTGTAGTCTCAATCCAGCCCATACGGAACAAGTCATCTCTTTACAAACAATGACGGCACCTTGCACAAATTGGAATCCTTTAATGACAGTGTCCCAGTAGCACTCAAAGACTAACTTGCTTTCACAGCGACTATCGCTACTGTATTGCTTTTGTGAAGAAGCTGACTACACCGTTAGTTTTATTCTGCCATGAAAAATGCTATTAAAAAAATCTTCTACAATAGCCAGTGCTATAGTCTGAGTAGGACCAGCAAATATATTAGGAAACCAACTGCCTAAGGCCAGCTTTGCAACATGCAATACACACGTGTCATTTCAGAGGTTAGGAAATACTAGAATTTTGCAAAGCCATTCCTCCAAAGATGTGGCAAAGTCTTCAGAGTTGCATAAAATACATACAGTAGCTTGTGCTGGCAGCAAATATTTTCTCTGTCCTCTGCTCTTTTCCAAGAAGCCTGTATTACTCTGGTTCTGCTTTTGAAGGCCATCGTGATACCAGTCCACCATTTTGACTTTACAGTTTGAACATTACTCCCTGTATGGCTAATTCTCGTAGACAATACCATTATTTATCAATACAGAGATTCCCTCGGCCCTAAACATGTTTTTGCTAAGCACAAAGTTCTCCATTAATTCGAATTTTTTGTCAAGCTTCCATGTGTTTTGACATTTTGGTCACATACATCAAGGTTGACTGCCAGGTCTCTAGATGGGTCTGGGTTTTCTGAGAACGTAAAGTGAACGGCCGCATATTACAATAGAGTTATCACAGTTCACCAAGGCTGTCACAAGATACCTCTTGGACAGTCTGGGGATTTTCATTTACAACAGCCAGCAAGTGTACACTTGAGGAAAATATCCTCCACAAGCCAGATCCGGCCTGTGAATCCAGCAGATCCAGTCCACGGATGCAGCGGAGAAACTCAGGCTGACTTCCTGCCTGCCCCCCGCACACTGCTGAGAAAAGCGGCCATTGCAAACTTGTGGAGCTCTGTTTGAACAGCTGTGAGCCCAGGGGAGGGAGATGAAGCTTCAGGTGTTGCTCCCGTCTCCAGCACAATCCCATTGGCCACTTTCTGGCCAATGGGAGCTGCCTCTTGTCAACAGGGAGCTTGTGAAGCACCCTCTCTCCCTCCTCTCAGGCCTGTAGCTGTTCTAAAACCACATGGCACCTGCAGCCAGTGCAGGGGTGGGACAGGCAAGGAGTCTGCTTGAGGAGGCTGCTGACTGGGTGTCAAGAAGGTAAGTCTCCCAGCCAGAGTCTGCTTCTGGCACCCCAACCCTTTGCCTCCCCTACCCCACATATGCCAAACCCTCTTGTCCCCATATCTCCTTCCAGATCCTGCACTCCAATACCCTACCCCAGGTCCAAGGATGTTAAATTACAGTTACCTGGCTAGTCAATACCTGTCTAGTTACCTGTAAAGTCACTACAATTTGTATCAACTACACAATTAGTCAATAAGGGCTGCTCTGCAGAGCCACACCAGGGGCAGCTCCAGGAGCCATCCCCACTGCAGCTCTGCATTTTAAATGTAGGAGGAGCCAGCAGGCTGCAGAGGTGCAGTGTCCCGGACCAGCGAGAGCTGGGACTGCTCAGTCCCAGCTGCTCAATCCCAGCTCGTGCTGAGTCCAGCAGTCCCTGTTCATAGCAGACAGCCCTGTTTGCCACAAACAGGGGCTGGTGCCAGAGCAGTCTCTATGCACGGTGGCCAGGGCTGGCTGCAGAGCGGGAGGGGGGGGGCATGCAGCACCGCAGAAACAGTGCTGGGGGGGAGCTGGCTTTTAAGCTTCACCCAAACTCCCTCCTGATCCCAATCCTTTACTGTACCCAACCTCCATCCCAGACCCCGCACCTCCTCCATTAATATGGAAGAGTGCAGCCCTTGACCACTTTCCAAATTCTTGGAGTGACACCCTCCCTCCCCCCCCCCCATCAAAAATTATTGTCCATCCCTGAGCAAGTGAATAGGTATGCAGTACTAATATCATAACGTATTTCTGCTGAGCTCCTAACCCATACTTCAATTTTTGTTTTCAAAATGGCAAGCAGCCACTGTTAAAAGAAGGACATTCTGGATTTGTACAAACCATTTAGGATCTCCAGTGCCAGATTTTCTAAGGAATATGAGTTAGGAGAATTTTGCCATAGCTCAGTGGCTCCCAACCTTTTTGTGCATACTCTTTTCAATCTAGTAAAATTTCATGGACCCCTCTCAATGGGGGAGAGGAAAAGAAAAGAAAAGTAAGAATCGGATTCACCACAGTGGGCCCGATCCTTATTTTTAACCTTTCCATGGACCCCCTGCAGTAGTGTTGCAGACCTCCAGGGGTCTGCGGACCACAGGTTGGGAACCACTGCTATAGCTGCATTTTAGCTCTAATGTAGTACTCCGCCACAGTAATGTCTTGCATCATGCTTGGTCTGAAGTTTCTCATTATCATCCTGAAAGTTTTAATAGCAGTCTTAGATTTTAGACACTTTTCCCAACAGAATCCTCCAACAAAACTACATGTACCAAAAGCCAACACAATGATAATTTCACCAGCTTTTACTTCGATGAGATGTGATTAAATCATATCCAAGAGGTTCTCAACACTTTGTTTTTCTAATCATGCTGCGGTCATATTTCTGAAGATGTTAAACAAGATCCATGAGGCTGAATATGACTTTTTTGTTGTTGCTTTTTCACCTTTATCATTAATTCACATGGGAAGGAGTTGTCTCATCTCAGCAGAAGTCCTTCCCATTGTCCTCACTTGTTCACTATGCAACAGTAGGTTGGTCAGTACGATGAAGGAACCAATAAAATGACCATATTCTAGCAAGGTCAGCATCACTCTGGCCACGAAACTAGTTGTCTTGTAGTCAAGTTCTTATTGGGAAACTTTAAAATCTTTTTGTTTCATGTGCTGTATTGATTGTTCAACTAGCACCTACCATATTATTTGGCATTTTTCATTGCCATCTGGTGGTTTGGGATGTGCACTGCAGGTAGTGTTCTTCCAGTATTTCCTCCTTCTGACACATGCACTGAAGCAGTAGCAGTAACAATAAAGCATTTCATGGGCTTTCATAGTTTCTTTATCCACAGGGTTTCTAAAGCATCTACAAACGCATGTTATGTATAGCACAGGCTTATACAAATAAGCACACACTCCAAAAGAAATGCAGCTGCCATTTGCTGGATGAAATACAGAAACACATCCAGCAATGTAACACAGCTTTAAATTTGGATATGTAGTACACCATCATATCCTGTTCAAAAGCAGGAGGAATTTACTGCAAGTAAACAAAACTTAATAATCCACACTGCAATTTGTCTGGACAACAAGGTTAAACCTTGTTTGTGAAAAATCCAAGGGATCTTTAGAGGCTACCAGTGTGAATGTGCACATTTTGTTCATCTCTGACAGCACAGACCTAGCATTGTCCCAAGGCACTGGTATAATATAGATCCAGAGGGAAGAGTCATATACTGAGTAGTCACTGAAAAGTAGTTCAGTCATTAGAACGGCAGCCCAATTTTATATACATTTGCCTTCACATTCGAGAGATTTCTCATTCACTCAAATATACGAGCATCTGACCTAGTGACAGAGTCTGCTTTTTTGTATCGTTCCATTATACACATCTTCTACAGCTGTATAGAATATTTTTCTTGTATCTGTGTGTATTTTTATAAGTATTTTACCAATACTGAAGATTACAAGAGGCCTGGAATTTGTGAGTTGACAGACCAAGAAGATGATTTGATACTCTTTTCATTTTTAAATACATAAAGGTCAACAGAAGATTATTTCTTTGCTGAAAGGCTCATAGAACCTGGTTTATTGGGCTCCTGAGGCACAGAAATCTGTGCTCGCCTTAACTTTATTTTTATTTCTGCTCTGACAGTCACCTTTAAAGAGTCTCCTAGGCCGAAATCAATGATAATGCTACTTTCCCAAGCTTCTTACATCCAAGAGTTTTAATGAGCTCACGCAAGTTCAACTAATATATCAACTTGAAACCTGTTGCTATGAATTTGATCTTATCTTAGTGCTTAACTAAAATATGTTTTACTTTACCATTAAAAACAGGCCTTACATTTCAGCAATGTGTTTCAAGGTACATGTCATGGCCCACCTGCTTTGCTTTCCCTGCGCTCTAAGTCAAACTTACCTGTAGCTACAACACACTCACGCTTGTGACGCTCATTCCACGCTTTGACTTTACAAGACTTGCTGCAAGTGAAGATCTCAAAACAGCGCGTGCAGAGAGTGAGGCGAATCCCTACTGCCCGCCCACACTGGTAGCAGTATTTAAAGAAGGGCTGCCTGGAACAGAAAGAGCATGAGAAGGGTTATATGAAATGTCTCATACGACAGGAGTAAAAATCTGCCCCTCTCCACCAGTGTAGCCACGAGAAGCAAGGCGCTATGGCTGGTCACAGCGAATATGCTGCTACCTGGGGGACAAATGAATATAAGCAGCAGCACTAATTCTAGCAAACTGAAGTGTCCCAAAAGCTTGTTCCATACCAAGGCCCCCCCGTTTGCCAATGCATTGTGCACAGCAGCCAGCTGCTTGCGCCGACTCCCTCTCCATTACTAAATGTAGGAGCGAGTGTCTATTCAGCATGGGTATGTCTACACTACCCCGCTAGTTCGAACTAGTGGGGGTAATGTAGTCATCCGCAGTTGCAAATGAAGCCCGGGATTTGAATTTCCCGGGCTTCATTTGCATGAAGCCGGCTGGTGCCATTTTTAAATGCCAGCATGGAACGAGGTGTACAGCTTGTTCCTCTGGCATGGAACGAGGTGTACAGCTAGTTCGGATTAGGAAGCCTAATCCGAACTAGCTACTCCATGCCGCGTGTAGCTGCGCGGCACGGGGTTCGAACTAGCTGGCATTTAAAAATGGCGCCAGACGGCTTCATGCAAATGAAGCCCGGGAAATTTAAATCCCGGGCTTCATTTGCAACTGCGGATGACTACATTACCCCCGCTAGTTCGAACTAGCGGGGTAGTGTAGACATACCCCATGAAATCTGGGAGCAGGTCACAAATACACAGGTCAGATATGGAGCAGGTTTGTAAAAGCCTCGTTAGCACTGAGGACCTCCCCAAAGTGCTTGCACCGCAGCAATGCTCCAGCAGCTGAGGACAAGAAGTGAAGAATGTTCTATCCCACTGGTGCTGCAGGAGATATGTAAATAGGCAGAATGTACTTCCCCTAGCTGCAACACAGCCTAGGCACTAGACATAAAAACCCCTGTACCTCTGAAAACCACTAATGGTCAGGACTTCCATTCATCTCATCCCAAAGATACCCTCTCACCCACGCTCACCACTAACCTTATCTCAACAGAGGGCAAATCAACTTTCTGGATTATGGGCTCTGCATGGGCCCAGACAAAAAGCACTGCCCAGTGACCCCTCCCCACTCTTTACAGCACTGATTTCCTTGACAATATATGGATGGGAGAACTCTGTGTTTCACTCTGCTTAGCTTGTGCGATTTCTCACAGCACAAGGTATGGCTCAAAGGCAGCGGCGGATTTAGGGCAGGGCGAGCGGGGCGGCTGCCCCGGGCCCCGCGCTTCCCGAGGCCCCGCGCATGCGCCTTGGCACCACGGCGCATGCACTGTGTCAAAGGGGGGGGCCCCACGAAATTTTGCTGCCCGGGGCCCTGTGGTGCTGCCCTGGGCCCCGCAGCACTCTCATCTGCCCCTGCTCACAGGCGACGTAGTGCAGGTATTCAAACTGTCTGTGGTAAAGCACCACAAGGACTAATGTAATTTTTAAGTATTTCAGTGCCTCTTAGCTTTTCATTAGCGGTCTCTAAAGGCAACACTGGATGCAATGGGATCATCCCGCATCTTTGGCATTGAGGGCTTTGATTTTTATAGCATTTCTGGCAGCATATCATGGACTCTATTAGTGTCTTGCTGCAGTCTCTTCAGTGTCAGCATCATTAATACAATCAATACTGTTAACAAAATGGCACAAGTGGAGGGAAAAAAGATGTAAGCAAGCCCCTAAAGCATTAATATGAATATTACCAGCCAGCATCAATGCTGTAATCTTGAGTCTCAAGAGCAACTTGGAAAGATAACACAGAATAATTTTGGTTTCCAACTAATTCTTCGCATTCTCTTCTAACAAACTTATTTTCATTTCTTATTTCCTGAGAAGTGTGCAGGTTTATCTCCATTGTTAACACCACGAGACCAACCACTTTTCTGCAAGAGTTAGGTAACAGACCAAACCCCTAAGTCAGAACTGTCAGGTGAGGGAAATGTTGAATCCTTTACTGATCACAAGCCTGGATTATATCTATTGATATGTTTAATGACCCTGAAATAAAAATATTAAAAATTATAAATGCTGGTAGATTTGTATTTGTAAATTCCTAAACAATTTCCATGGCCATCTCTCTCATTAGGGACTACAATTCCTAAATAATTAGGGGTTCAATAATTAAGGATCCATATTAGTCATATAAATTATGTATATAACTAGTTTGAAAATGTAGCCCTGTATCTTCAGTTCATTTAGGAAGGATGGGACAGGGCATCGGAGATTAGGGTTAGAACTTCAGAATAGTATGCATTTCGCTTTACCAGTATGCAGAGTAAGAACATGTGCAGCCAAGTAAACAACCTATACCCCCCCCCACACACACACACACACTGACCACTATCAACAAGTAATCTATTATAAGACAGTGCTATCTGGAATAGTTCAATATTTTCCCAAGACCAATCTATGATAACTGATGGCACTGTCTTTTTTAACCACTGTACATAATGTTGCACACATATTATGGAACTGAAGTAGTGACTTCCTTCCTATGACCCTGATCCTGCACTATGAAAACTTAGGGGAAACCCCTATACACAGGAAATCCTTAATGAGGCTCTTAATAGACACAAGGATCTGTTCATGCAGTTCCGCTTGCAAGGCAGGGTGGGGATCTATGTTTGAAAGAGATTCCGCTCCATTTGAAATTTGGTTTTGACTCAACCCTAGACTTTGAAAAAAAGATTTTTGCAGATGGCAGCATCATACGGTTTGTACTGGGCCATGGGAGGGTTTGTCTGGAAAGCCTCAGGTTAGACTAGCTTCTTTTGAACTACTAGGCTGTGTATACAAATGACCAATTTGTTAACAACCAGAAAATTGTAACATCTTTGTCCATTCCTAGCAGCCACCTTAGCTAACTTCAACCTAATTCTAAACACTGATTACTAAAAAGTCATAGTTTTGTTTTGTTGTTTTTAAGATCAGAAGGAACCAATGTGATTGTCCAAACTGATCTCCTTATAGCACAACCATGGGACTTCCCTGAATGATTTACTTCAAAGTCGAATGGCTGTGGTGGAACTAGAGTATTTCTTTCGCAATAAAAAGTCCACCGCAACCCTAAATTGTTCCAATAGTTAATTACCCTTGTGATTAGAAATGTGAACCTCATTTCTAGTATGTATTTATCCAGCTCCAACATCATCAAGGTATTAAGAAATTCAAAATACGTGGAGAAAGAAATTCAATGATTATTCCAATTTCATATATTCTTTTATGGCTATGGTAATCTCTGTGCTTACCACTTACTGCCATGGAGTTTACAATGTCTGCACTTACAAAGTTTCCCATGTGCATTTGTAAGCTCTTTTAGGCTGTGTGGTGTGAAGCAGCTTAAGACTTATGGGCACATCCAGTCAGGATGAACAGTCTGACCTTTACGCAGAGACAACAGGGTGTTAGCGAAGGGACTGGGGGTGGGGAAGGATTGATACCATGAGAGAAGGTGGGGAAGGTAATTTTAGCTGCTGAAAAGTAGATAGATTGAAGAGACGAGGGGAAAGTCAGCATGGCCAGAGAAGGGATGTTGGTGACGGTGGCCCAGGGGAGGGAGAGCCATGACGTGATATATTTGGTTCAGACCTATAAGTTTTTGCATTCAGCATCATTGTCGTACCTCACTTCCTCCTTGTCTAGTGTAACTGCAACACGCTTCTCCGTACGTTTCCTTCTAGCTGAGGGACCACGAGAACTTGCATCTACTGTAACAACATATAAAAGAGAAAATCAGGCCTCACGAATACAGCATGTGAATAAGCATGCTGGTCACTAGTGCCACTTCCATTAAAACTGCATTCAGCCCACTGGTGTGGTTATGTCACAACAATACCCATTTATTAACAACTCACTCACTGGCCCGCGCTGGCTATTAGAAAGGCCAGAACAGTTTCTTCTTGAAATTGAAGTTACAGGAAGATACAAGTTACACTGTGTCACATAATTTAAAAAAAAAATCCTAAATAATGCTCAGTGTCCAACTTCATATTTTTATAGCCCTCATTGTGAGCCCGTGAAACATCTTAGTGTCACCTGCTGGGACTCAGTGAGATGTGAACTGTGAGTACAGTGACACCCACAGGCAAATATATTGTATTTTCACTGCCCCCTAAGTACAAGATAGGCACTTGTCTCAGATTTTTTAAATTAAAATATTTTAAGATAAGAACTTCAAAGGTTGGCAATATATCTCCAATCTAACTAAGGGGAAATTGTGGTAGAGAGAAAATATCAGATTTGTAAGGCCAGAAAGGACCATTATGATTACTACAACATCCTGCCTAACACAAGCGATAGAATTTCAGGTTATACGAACTGCAGAGGGTAACTATACCTAAAACTTGATAAGTGAATTTTAGTGTGGGAACCTCTAGAGGCAGGATTATTTTGTGCTTGAAACACAAGTATCGGGGAAAATGTAGGTTCTACATCTGGTACTGCCACAGACCTGAGCAGGACCCTGAGCAAATCACTTAACCCCAGAGTACCGAGGCATGTCCCTAGCTATAAAAGGAGAATGGCACATACTTACTCTATAAGGTTAATGGGATCCTGTAAAGCACTGGGACCCATGGATTAAAGATGTTACAGAGGAACAAATTCAACATTAGGGGCTATAGTTTAATCCTACTGCACAAGGATCCCATAATTGTAAACCCCTGTGCTCCGTTACACAGCATTTACACAGACTGAAGGCTTGGCTTGAACTCACATTTCCTGGATTTCCGAAGTTCTTCTCTATTCCATTCTTTCTCTTTCCGGGCAACACACTCACGAAGCCGGTCACTAATATAATCTAGCAGCTCCCTGCGCGCATTGAAAATCTCCCGCTCTGGCGGCAATAGTGCATGGTATGGGGTATGGGCTATCTTCTTATCCTGTCACACACAATTTATATACAGTA